GTGCTGACTTTCTCACTTATAGTGTGGTTTGGCAGCTCCACAGTTCAGCAGAGAAGTCAGATTAGTAACATAACTCGGGTTGCTTCGAAAATTATTGGTTGTGATCTTCCAACTATTGATGAGATCTATGTTTCACTTTTGCAGAAAAAAGGTTTAACAATCCTGAAAGATCCCTTACATCCAGCCAGACACCGCTTTACGCCTCTTCCTTCAGGCAGACGCCTTAGAGCAATTAAAACTAAGTCTACACGGTTTTTGAACAGCGCTTATTGTAGGATTGTTCATGCTCTTAATTCCTCTGGTGTCTATGCATCTGTATTTCACTCCTTATAATTGATAGGACATAGATAGTTGTGTATGTGTATTTATATATTGTATGTATTTTAATGTTTGTTATTATTGTTGATGAGCTCACCAAGAAAAATTCCAAACAGCTAGGGTGTTTGGCAATAAATAAATAAATATGTTGTGATTTTAGACACTGCATATCCATGAATTAGTAAAATACAGTAATGTGAACATAACATCTTGTCCCATGTAATGCATGACTGATATCATGGCAAAATAAAATGCCTTTGGGACCACCAGCATCAAAAACAGGGCTTCACCGAATAACAATTATTTTTGAGATTATAATTTGTGGTTCAACTTTACCTTTAGCTTTAGATGTGGTTGACTCTTCCGAAGTTCCCCTTGATTCAAATCACGTTGTCACAAAGAGTGTTGGAGATGAGACGCCTGGAAGATGGGGATGAGGATAAGTGCAACTGATATCCGTTCAGAGAGACTCAAAATCAATCTTTTTGTGTTTTGCGATCAGCAGACCATGGCAGTGTGTTTCTTGAACTAAACATCCATTCTGAGCCAAACTTTCAGTCTCAAGTTTTAACCCCCCATGTGTTGGTATGGTCCGGTATGCCTGTTCTATTCATCTCTCTCCAAGAGACCCCCCTAGACCCCTGCTTTCTTTCTCTTACCCTCCTCCTCCTCATCCTCTACTCCTTTCTTCTCCTCTCCACATCTTTTTATAAAGCTAATGAGTCTGAAGGAGGGGCCGTCCTCCTCACTGTCATTAGGATTTGACTAATATGCAGATGTCTTTAGTGTGTGCTAAATGGTCTTTACTGCTCTACGTGTGTAAATATATTCAGGAACAACTTCTGATCATTGTTTCTGGGATTCATGAGATCATTGAAGTTGTATATGTGACCCTGAACCACAAAACCAGTCTTAAGTCGCTGGGGTATATTTGTAGCAATAGCCAAAAATGCATTGTATGGGTCAAAATTATAGATTTTTCTTTTATGCCAAAAATCATTAGGATATTAAGTAAAGATCATGTTCTATGAAGATATTGTGTAAATTTCCTACTGTAAATATATTAAAACTTAATTTTTGATTAGTAATATACATTGCTAACTAGTTTAAAGGCTATTTTCTCAATATTTAGATTTTTTTTTGCACCCTCAGATTACAGATTTTCAAATAGTTGTATCTCGGCCAAATATTATCCTATCATAACAACATACATCATACCATACATCAATGGAAAGCTTATTTATTCAGCTTTCAGATGATGTATAAATCTCAATTTTGAAAAATTGACCCTTATGACTGGTTTTGTGGTCCAGGGTCACATATGTGTTTTCAAGCCCATGTGTGTTGATAGTCATGCCATGATGACCATTTAAAGGTGAAGTGTTTCATTTCTGTGCCACTAGTGGCACCAAACACAATTGCATAAATAAAACAGTTAGCCCTGACTCTGAATTCTGATTGGACAATCCATATTGGAACCTGTGATTAAACATTCTAAATTCCGTACTGGAATTATTTATTCCAATTACTGTTAATAATATACAGTATATAACTAACTATTCATTAGGGTATTTGAAATCTAGCCATTTCAGACTGTATGTTTTACTGCCGTTAAGGAGGTTTTAGGTTTAATCGGTCTTCCACTGGTCATCAGAAAGCCCCGCCCCAAACTCACGTTATTGGTTGAGCCAAAAAACATACTGCATTTTATTTTGTGTTGCTAGTTATGAGGAAATTACACATTTCACTTGTGGAAGTGAAAATAAGAGTCCAATTGTAACTGTGTGATTACGAGTTTGACTGTGTGTTATTAAAGTATCAGATGTGTTGTGGTTATATTAATGTTTAGGCTTGTGTGGGTGTGCAGTGAGTTAAGCATTACTTTCACTCTCATTATTTAGTACGTGTTGTGGTTACGTGTGTTTATGTCCGTCTGCAGGTTCAGGCCACAGATGCAGATCAGGGGGAGAATGGAAGAGTTCTGTACAGGATTCTGTCTGGTAACTAGGCCTATTTATTCTTCCTGTTTCCCTGATGTCACACCTCAATGCCTTGATCAGATGCACTCCAACAATCCACTACACTAACTAACCAACATTGTTGCATTATATAATGTACAAAAAAAGTATATATTTTGAGTATTTTCAGTCATATTTTGAGCATTTTCAGTCATCTGTGGCATACTGTAAGCACTGGGGGAAAATGTGTGGAAACCACAGATTAAAATAAATAAATAAATTGCAATTATGTGTTTATGTATGGCAAATCTGACTGTTTTTCTCAGAATTGCAAAATATAATTCAGAACTGGGAGATATAAACTCATAATTCCCAGAAGAAAATCCAAATTTTGAGATATAAACTCAAAATTCTGAAAAAATATGAATTTTGAGATGCAAATTTGAAATTGTGAAAAGAAAACTGAACTGTGAGATAAAAAGGCGCAATTACTAATTGACAGAAAAAAAAGAAAAAAAAACAGTTGCGAAATGTGCAATGTCTCAACTTGGAATTTAGAAAAAAAAAACAGATTTGCAATATGTACACACAGAATTATGAAGAAAAAAATCATAATTTTGACATTTGTTTTTTATAGTTGCGAGGTCATATCTCGCTGTTCTTTGTTTATATCTCACAATTCAGACTTTTTTCTCAGAAATGTGAGAAAAAAAGGTTGAATTATGAGATTAAAAGCCTTTTTAACCTTTTATTCTGTATTCGGCAGAAACTGGCATCCATAAAAATGGGATTAATTGTCCTAAAAATATTGCCACAATACAGACAATATTAACAATTTTCTTTCCTTTTAAAAAATATATGACTCTATGTGACATGTTTATACAAATAGAGACTAATTCTGTAAGAATCATAAATTATCACTGTTTTCAACCTCAGCCTTTATGTTATGTACTGTTTCAGAGTATGGCGTGTGTGTGTGTGTGTGATTTGATATCTGTAGGCATCAATGGTCAGTTTACTGTGGACAGTCTGTCTGGACTCATCAGCAGAGGAACTGTGGCTCTGGACCGAGAGACACGCAGCTCTCATGTGCTGGAGGTGGAGGCCTACAACAGTGACCAGGGCAGCATGCGCAGCTCTGTCAGGGTGTGTTTGTGTGTGAAAAATAATATAGCATACCCTAGAAAATCCCTTATTCGACAGGTTTATATTAAAGTTCATGTAAATTACTGTTTGCAACCCAGGGATGTTCAGTGATAAAAAAAGACATGATTTAATCCATCAAGAACTGACTAAAGGAGTAATGTGCGTTGCATATCAGAATAGATTCAAATTTGAATGCAAGGTTGCTAAAACAATGCTTGCTTTACATAATTAACACTGCCTGCACATTGTATTAAATCTAGCTATAAACGTGTTTTTTTATTTTATTGAAACATCATTAAAGACAAGTACTGAATATAATGTGTGCGTAGCAGTATGTGTCTGTTGTGAATCAGACTGTGATTGTGAGTTTGTCTGCAGGTGATTGTGTATGTGGAGGACGTGAATGACGAGTCTCCAGTCTTCACTCAGTCGCAGTACAATCGTCTGGGGCTCAGAGAGACCGCTGGTATCGGTACATCTGTAGTAGTGGTCCGAGCTACAGACCCCGACACAGGTACACAACACAATCAACCCACAAGCCAGTGCAAACACACTCTCTTCTTGACCTTTGAATGTGTCTGTGGACCAGACTAGTTCACGGAGGAGGTAAATTTGTCTTATAGGAACATCTGTAAGTGCTGTTATTGTGTATTCATAACACTTATCATTTATTTTGACCTTTTTTAAGTGGGTGTGTGTCATGCACCTAACATAGCTCAAGCTATTTCAAGTATTTTTCCATTGGTTCTTAATGCCAAATGATATCACAACATTTCTGTTGCACTTCTGCTTGTGTCTGTAACTGCTTCCCTGTTTCACTTCTTCATAGAGGATGTCCAGCATGTCATAAACTGGACAGACGTCCAACCATCTGTGTCTTCGCAGGCCTGAGGTTTAGAGTGCAGTATGCTAAAGTTTAGTCCTGTAGATACTGTATATAAATGACCAGGGTTGGGGAAAGTTACTTTTAAAAGTAATGGATTACAATATTGCGTTACTCCATAAAAAAGTAACTAATTGTGGTACTTAGTTAGTAATGCGTTACGTTAGAAATACTGAATCTGTGTTTTTTTTTTTGTGAGTGAGATGAATTAATGCATATTCATATTTATTTTAGAACTACAGTAACATCTTCTGATTTCTCTCAACATGGGGACAGGAGAGCTGTCAATCAATAAATTGGAAAAAAAAGTAACTTGCGTTACTTATTTGAAAAAGTAACTCAGATATTCTCTTGTAAATTAAAAAGTAATGCGTTACTTTACTAGTTACTTGAAAAAAGTAATCTGATTACGTAATTTACGTTACTTGTAATGCGTTACCCCCAACACTGTAAATGACAATCGTCATTGAAATAGTTAGCTCACGACATTGGAGGACTAAGAGTGCCACTTGAAAGTAAAATCAAGCAATCAATTATCAACGTAGTAATTAAAAATATAAATGAATAATTAACATTTTAATGTTCATTTCAAACATGAAACAAATGCAGTTAAATGTAACAGTAATACAGTGGTAACCAAAATTATCAGAACACTGGTATTTTCACCAGCTAAAAAATGGTTTCAAGTCAGTTATTTCTATCTTTTGCTGTAGTGTGTCGGTAGGAAATATCAGTTTACATTTCCAAACATTCATTTTGCCATTAACTGTAATAATTCAGTGAGATTTTTATTTGCACAAGGAGTCTGACAGCAGCCAGTGCCCCAAACAGAGATCTGATCTCATCATCTTCCAGTGTGTCTGGAATGACATGAAGAAACAGAACAAACTGAGACAGACTCAATCCAGAAGAACCGATGCTTCAAGAAACCTACCTGCAAAGCTCCCTGAGAAACTATGCTCAAGTGCACGGATGGCAAAAGCTGCTTTAAATGCAAAGGATGGTCACACCAAATGTTGATTTAATTGAGTTAATAGAAGTTAATTGATGAAGAAAATCTATTCATGACATTATTTTAGTGCCTAAAACTTCTAACAGTACTTTCCACCAACATTGTCTCTCATCGTGTCGCTGGTTAGCCTCTGCTCTGTCTGTGCACCGCGTTTAGGTGTTTTGGGGGAGGCATGGCTTTGGAGAGTGATTTGCAGAGAGCATGCTATTGCTTGCTATTGCTAGCCCCTCCGAAATTTAAGATGTGAATTTTTGATGTCTTTCTAAATGCATGTTCACACCGAGAGTGATGCAGTGAAGTGATGCAAGGAAGTGAAAACGCAACCCAAAAAGAAAATACTGTATGTGATAGGGCACAGACGATGACTTATTTTTACTAATCGACTAGTCAGCAGGTCAATATTTGACTAGTACTCTCACGTCTGTTTAACACACCTACTGTGCTTAAATCCTTCCAGTTTTTTTTTTCTTCACAAAAATCAGTGTAGAATATGTGGGGGGGACTTTGTAGATTCTAGGTCTGCCCTAAAATATAAGGAAAGGACACATGAACCTAAAAGTTCAAATTAATGCCCAGTGAGTTTTCTTGCAAGGTAAACAAAAAATGAAGCTATATAGTAGGGAAAATGACACAGCACGGGTTTAGAATGGGTTTCTTTTAACAGCTTGACACGGCGGAAAATCCTGCTTGGTGTGAATAAACCAAGTGGCCAAAACAACTGGATTGTCTTACATTGGTGAAAATGATATAATAGCAAATAGCAAAGATTTTGTTCATTTCTCTACATGGATTTTGTAAAATAATAAAGTATTTTGTGTGCTCTACAGGGTCGTATTACTGTGACGGGACTGTTGGACAGAGAGCTGGGCGATTCATACACTCTCACTGTTGTGGCCGATGATGGAGGACCCAAGAGAGACTCCACTGTGGTAATGAGTTTACTCTATGGTCTGTTCAGTCTGTAGGCCAAACTCACTAAAGCCTTACTGTAGAGAAGCACACACAGGTGTTTCTTCTTCTAAGTTGTTTACAATATGATCATGTATATTAAAGTACATTTTAAAGGAATAGTTCATCCAAAAATGCAAATTTGCTGAAAACGTACCCTCAGGCCATCCTTGATGTAGATGAGTTTGTTTACTCATCTGAACAGATTTGGACAGAAATGTAGCATTCCATCACTTGCTCACCAGTGGATCCTCTGCAGTGAATGGGTGCCGTCAGAATGAGAGTCCAAACAGCTGTTAAAAAACATCACAATGATCCACAAGTAACTCCAGTACATCAATTAACATCTTGTGAATGCATGTTTGTAATAACCAAATCCATCATTAAAAGGTTTTCAAACTATTCCTTTCAGGCAAAATACAAGTCCTATATCCACAACATTGCCTTCTCCAGTCAAAAAAAAGTCATCTCGTCTGAATCAGGGGAGAAATATACACAGATCAAGTACTGTTTACAAGAGAAAACAGTTTTAAACAAATATGTTGGTGGATTTTGATGTGAACAGACAACAGGGGATGGGCTTTTTTCACTGGATGAAACATTATTATGGACTCTTACTGCTCTTAATACTTTAGACAGAAGCGACGGTTTAAAGTTTAAACACATTAATAATGGATTAGTTTCTGTGGATTATTATTATGTTTTTATCAGCTGTTTGGACTCTCATTCTGACGGCACCCATTCACTGCAGAGGAACCATTGTTGAGCAAGTGATGTAATGCTAAATTGCTCCAAATCTGTTCCACTGAATAAGCAAAATATCTACATTTTGGATTGCCTTAAGGTGAGCAAAATTTCATTTTCATTTCATTTTCCTTTAAAACTTCATGTCTGTGATAGTGATGTGAAATGTATATAATAATATGATTTTGATGTACTGTATAAATATGTAATTTAACCTCTTTTATTGTTTTTTCTAATTTCCTTCCTGATGCACATTTGTAGAAGGTCAGTGATTCTTATTCATCAGATCCTTTTAATGCTTTTAATTAACGGATGTTAATATTGTTCCAGATTTTACATGACTTTTACATATTCTTTTGACAGGTGTCAATCACCATTCTCGATGAGAATGACAACAGCCCAGAGTTTGACATCACTTCGGATTTGTCGGTGGATATTCCAGAAGACACACCAATTGGTCAGAGAGTTGCGGTCGTGTTGGCGCGGGACAAAGACGCTGGAAGAAATGGACTGGTGAGGGAGAGAAATATTCAAAACAATGTCAAGTGAGTTATCAATCATTTGTAACCATGCCTCCATCACACTCTTGTCTCCTTCAGGTGATTTTCACCTTAATCGCGGGGAACATGCAGGATGTGTTTAAGATCAACACAGCCAATAATACATATGGAGAAGTTTACTTGAATGCGCGTCTGGACCGTGAAGCCGTGGACCGTTACCTGCTTAAAGTGAGAGAGAAACACTACAGACACTATGGCTCTGTAACAAACTTTAGGGACTTCCTAGACAACATTTTATTTTGTACGCATGCTCCCTAGTTTGTAAAAGCCATGTTATATTAGACATATACATTGCTGTTCAAATGTGTCAGTAGTATTTTCCAAGAAATTAATACTTTTATTTAGTATGGTTGCATTAAATTGATCAAAGGTGGCAGTAAAGACATATACATTATTACAAAAAAAATTATATTTCAAATAAATGCATATTTATATTCATCAAAGCATCCTGAAAAAATGTGTTATGGTATTATGGTTAAGCAGAAAAGCTGATTTCAACATTCATAATAATAAGAAATCTTTCTTGAGCAGCAAATCAGGATTTTAAACAACAGCGTGAGTGATTCACCGCGCGCACTCTTTCTCTCTCAAAATACTCAAATGGCTTCACATCACCACACATCACGTCTGTCTAAGCGAGCTGCACAGTTGACAGTAATTTCACTTGCACAGTCGAGGCAGTGTCACATCGTCACTAAAGTTGATAAATTGCATTTCTTTTTCATTCTTGCAAGTGTTTAACCATTCAAAAGCTGCTTCCCCTCTCACAAGAGTCACTTAAGAGAGGAATTTGCCTCCATTTTCAAAAATGAAATTCAGGCCCTGAATAAATGTCTAAAAAATCCTGATTGGAGTATCACTATAAATAGTTATAAATGATAAAAAGAAGGCTTTAAAAAGATCGGTATCGGTGATCGGTATCGGCAGATACTGCTTTCTGTGATCGGAGATCGGTAATCGGCCTCAAAAATTCTGATCGCAGCACCCCTATATAGAATAGAATAGAATAGAATGTAGGGATGTACTAGGATGTAGGGTGGTAACAAATAAATATAAGGTTATTGCACATATTTTTATTGCACAGTGGGGAGATCATTTAACTGTTCATGAGGTAGACTGCCTGGGGAAGAAACAAAAAATGAAAGAAAGAAATATAATCAGAATAAAACCTGGTTAGTTTATTGGCAAAAAAGTAGACAAAAATCTAATCATATATTATAATTATTTATTATTTAATTAAAATGTGTGTATG